GGAGCGCCGCCGGGGGACCCGCTTCTCGGCGCCCGCCCTCGGGCCAGCGCCGCCGGCCGCGCGGCTGCCAGGGTCTCCAAGGTGCATACCGCGCTAAGTGGGCGTTTGCTTTTCCTCCACTTTCCATCGCTTCTCCCCCCAACTCAGCTCTGCCGACTACTTCTCAGAATCTACCCCCCCCCCAGGTTCTTAAGAGCCAAATAGTGGTGTATTTTGTTTTCTTTAACGCGAGGACACTTTGTCACTTGGTTTCCACAAGTCCCTCCAGGATGGGGGCTTTAGTCCTAGCGTGGTTCCCGCGTGTGTTTTGTTAGGAGTTACTTGAAAGCCCCGGGTTGGACACCAGTTGTGCTTTACACTTGCATTTGTTTTCTGAAAGACACATGCCCAGCCTGTCCCTTTAAGTTTCCCCGACTGGGAAGAGTAAACGTCCCCAGGCTAGCGCCGTGTCTACACGCCTGCACTTGGCTCGGGCACTTTCCACAGAGCCCTCTGGAAGGGAGGGGGCGCGGCACGGATTAATAGTAGCGGACACTGAGTCCTCTCGTCCGTCGTCGCCCGCCCGCCCCACCGAGCGCGAGCCTCGCGGCGCTAGCAGCCCGGCCTTCTTATGTAGGTCCGCGCGGCGGGCGCGTGACGTGGGCGCGGAGCCGCGGGCAGCCGCCGCCGCGAGTGCGCACGCTCTGCGCGGACGTGCCTCGGCGCCGCTGGCACGGGGCCCGGTTGAACGAACGCACATTCCAGGGATCAGGGGTCTACGGCCAGCGCGGCCGCGTCACGCTGCAGGCCCCGCCCCCTCCGAGGAGTCTGGGCCTCTCCCCCTCCGAGTTCCGCCTCCGGGCTCGAACTTGGACTCGAGGTGGCGGCAGGCGGGGGCGCAAACAGAGGTGGGGCCTGCTCGCCTCCGCGGGGTCCCCGCGGGCTGTGGGGGCGACCGGCTGGCTGGTTTGCGATCGCACGAGCCGCCGTCGCGCGGGACAGGCAGCTGGCGCGGGTAGCCTTGCTCCCCTTTCCGCCCCACAAGCTGGGCTCAGCCCACGGTGGGTGCAGACCGGTCTGGCGCGAAGGCGGGGTGCGGCCGGCCCTCAGGGAGCTGCTGCAGTTGTAGCCACAGCCTGTGCCCTGACTGAAACGAGCACTTGAGTTTCACACTTTTATCGGGAGGAGGAGCTGGTGTGTGTTATGGTAATTCACTCTGGGCTGGTCGTTAGTCCCACTGGCGAATAGACGCGGGCTTATTCTTTCTCAATTGGGACTTTTACACTTCAGGTCTGTAAGGGCGTCCTTTGGAGCTGCTTTTGTTGGGAACACTGGCCCACATCACTCCCCTGGGACTGGAGTGAGCTGGTTAAGTGTGGGAAGGACAGGGTATTAATTATATTATCTTTCCTACAACTGGATTGGTACGTGGCGAGAGAAAAAAATCCTGCTGACGTTTCTCTGTAGTTGTTGCTATTGAAAATGCCAGGTTGCTTCAAAGGATTAACCACAAGGAAGAGGAAAAACACCCTTAGAGAAACAGTGGAGGGAGCTGCTTAAAGCATATTTTAAAAAAAAGCCTGCCCCAAAATGGCACAGAAAACAATGCCAGACATAACGTGTTTTTACAAACTAACCTTGAATTTCTTCTCTTAGGGATTTGCAGAGTAGGGGCGTCTGCTTTAAAAGTCCCCCCCCATCTCTCCCTGGATCCTGCCCTGCAGTCCTGCCTGACCCTCTGCAAGGTGGGAGAAAGGGGCCTGCCCAGATCTCTCCAGGGAGCAGCTGGTGCCAGCATATTTGGTCCCTCCTGGTCTTGCTATCTCGCATCTCCTGGACCTGTCCTTCTGGTCACCCTCTTTAGAGACCCTGTGACACTCTAACTTGTGGCTTCCCATGCCACAAGGGCCCACTGCCCATGGCCCAAAGGGGATGAAGGCCAGTCTTTGTGCTGCAGAGAGATGAGCCATCTTGACACCCCCAAGAAATGGCCCCACTAAGCGCTCACTGAAACATGTCCATTAGAACGGTGGCCTAATTATACTTTTACCTGCAAGCCGGCACTGTAATACTGTCAAGGGAGAGCCTGCCATTCCATCCCAAAATAGAATCAGAGATACAGATTCGACTTGGAGAGAGTCTGCAGGATCTTTGTAGAGCAGAGCTTTTCTTCTCCAAAACAGCATTTCCCTCTTACTTTACACTGCCAGTTTAATGTCTCAACTTCCCTAATGCAGTACCCTCTGGAAAATGGAAGGGGTATTTTAGTTCTGGGCTTGCCTGCCTTAAAAGGATCTGGGATCAAGGGGGTTAAGGCTGGCTCTGGATCCAGGGCAGCAATTCCTTATATTGTATCAAAAGTCTTTCATGCTGCCTGGCCTTTCATGTAGCTCTGAAGCAGCTTTATCAATGTATGCTAAGTAAACATAGCCTTGTTTTTGTCTTCCACCCACTGCCCTCCCTCCCTGCGCACACTGGATTTGGATCCCTTCCAAAGCGGCTGCTGCAGCAGTTACAGCCATCTCCACTCACAGGAGCAGGGTTTCTAGGGTGAGGCAAAGTGTCTGCAATTCACAGAGACAAGGCAGGAATTGTAATTGTAGTTCATCATGTGATGACTTATGAAAGAGGAAGTTGGTATGTTTTAGTCACGTAGACTCTGCCCTCTTGCTTAAGGCTCCAGGTCCTCTCAGAAGAGAATTATGATCATCTTTGCAACTCAGAGTCAAGGTTACTGGGTTGGCTGCAGTGTGCTCCTACACATTCCTGTATGGACAGGCGGGCAGATGCCGTGCCAAATGTCCCCGAAGCAGCAACGGGTTGAGGCTGGCTTTTAACCAAAACACTGAAATGTTGCAATTTGTCGTGAGAGCTATAGGAAATATATGGGGAACACCCCTGCTGAAACTAGACAAACCAACAGTCCTTTTCAGCTCTAATTTTTAAGATTTAAAAATAAAAATCACAGGTTAGTAGTAAAAGGCAAGCCAGTGAGTATGACACTATCAAAAAATGAGGAATAAGGGAAGTGGCTCACAGGCAAACCTAGGAAAGCAGTTCTAAGCCATAGCTCAATGGGAAGGATGAATCTTACCTCCACACACTGAGATGTGGGTGGACTTCCACTTGTGAGCACTGGGCATCTAAACTCTGAATGCTCAAGCAGCTCTTGTTAACACACAAGCCCTGTACTGACTGAGAGTATACAGGGCAGTGTAAAGAATCTGTTCCTATCAGAGGCCTTGAATGGAATTTACCCCCAGGACATGTAGCTGCAGGACAGGTTCAGCCCCTTGTCAGCAGCTATGGGTGCTGTCCAGGTGATAGATAGTATTCCTAGGGACTGTTGAGTTCATGGGTTCACCTATTCCCAGATTTAGAATAACAGCCTTCATTCTGTAGAATGGAGCTTGTTTAAAAACATGGTATTTCAGTTGTGCTAAAACTTCTTGAACTCTGACCTAGGGGTATTCAAAGGAGAAAAAAAATGAGACCATTTCATTTGGATTACTGTGGACATCATCACATGTTCCTCATACTTGGACAAAAGTGCTGTAAGACTGGAAGAGCACATACAATATTCAGGACTTTTCTGCTTCAAAAAAGTTACATATGTGAGAGCAGGGCGAGGTGGCTCATGCCTGTAATCCTAGCACTCTGGGAGGCTGAGGTAGATGGATCCCTTGATCTCAGGAGTTCCAGACCAGCCTGAGC